CGACCAGGGCTCAAACCCGTGTTCCCTGCACTGGCAGGCAGATTCTTAACCACTGCGCCAGCAGGGAAATCCCAGGAATTACTTTTTTAAGCAAAGGTTTTACTTCAGCTCACTTGAACCTAAATATTACAAATTACAACCAAGTATGGGAATTTTCTCTATGAATAATCTCAGTGTGTGGAATGAACTGGTGATCAACATGACCTGTTGCATTTTGAGTACTTGGAAGAGCAGTCTAACAAAGCACCCTCAAACCACCTAAAACAATCGGAAGTCAGTTACAATTCAATGAGCCATGTACTTTTAATCCTTTACACCTGGAAGTAAAATCTTAATGGTGGAGAAGGTAGCTGATTAATCCATCCTGAGGGAAATCTTACATAATTAGAAAGTCTGAAACACCTGATACACTACTGATTAACAAAGAACGGCAGTCTCTACAACAGTCCTTCTGCCTAAGACTTAATGCATGTACTTTACAGAACATCAAATATGTTTGGATTTTGAAGGGTTAAGAAAGCAGAGTTGGATACGTGCACCACAATGTCCATTGCAGCACTATGTACAATAGCCAGGACATGGAAGCAACCTAAATGTCTATCAACAGAGGAATGGATAAAGAAGATGTGGCTCATTTATACAATGGAATATTACTCAGCCATAAAAAAGAACGAAATACTCCCACTTGCCACAACATGGATGGACCTAGAAATTGTCATACTGAGTGAAGTAAGTCAAAGACAAATACCTTATGATATCACTTATATGTGGAATCTAAAAAAAATGGTACAAATGAACTTATTTACAAAACAGAAATAGTCACAGATGTAGAAAACAAACTTAGTTACCAGGGGGGAAAGCGTGGGGCAGTAAGGGGGGGGGTGGTGGGTAGATTGGGAGACTGGGATTGACATATACACAATACTATATAAAAAAATAGAGAACCTACTGTATAGCACGGGGAACTGTACTCAATACTCTGTAATGGCCTATATGAGAAAAGAATCTAAAAAAGAGTGGATATACGTAAATGTATAACTGATTCACTTTGCTGTACACCTGAAACTAACACAACACTGTAAATCAACTATACTCCAATTAAAAAAAAAAAAAAGAGTTGTAGGTCATCCAAAATCATTTGCAGAAGTGAAGAACATCCTTTAAGAACTAATATGACATATACTGGAATTTTTAGTACACTTTGATATTTTATAAAAACTAAGACAAAAAAGGGAGAAAGTAGGGCAACCAAAAATGAGAAATGTAGATGGAGAAATGTAGATGAACAAACTATTTACCCATCTTTTCCTGTACTAGTATACATCAATTGAACATCCTATTCCAGCTGGATGAACTTCCATGAATTTATGCAAATTATGTCTCCAGCAAAAGTTTGTTTTTCACTGCATTGACGTGTCAATTTTATCAATCAACTCAGTGTGAGAGGCTTTCATTCATTTGCTCTGTTGGCTGAGTGGAGTGGCTATGTTAGCAGCTCCCTGACACAACCTGACTACCATCATAGAGGGTTTCAAAGGTTTTTCAGATTAGCAATTCACCAACCTTAACTCTCTTTAGAGTCCAGAAATCAGTGTCATCTCTCCAGCTAACCTCCATTAGAGGAGTAACAGAAACCAGATTACTAGTAAGCCAAAATGTTTCTCTGAGAAATAGTAATAGTTCTACTAAAATTATGTGTTTGACTCTTGCAAAAGCTACAGAATACACACTAGTTGAATCTAAAAATCACCTACATTTTGACTTTGACAAATTCTAACAAATTCTTGTTTGATTTGCAAAACCAGGTTCTTAGCTCTTCATTTTCTGCTATGAGGTGTAATTATAATTTTAAATATGTATGTATGTATGTACGTATGTATTTATTTAGGCTGGGAATGGTCTGAGTTGCAGCACGCTGGATCTTCGTTGCGGCATGCACATGGGATCTTGCTCTCCGACCAGGGATCGAACCTGTGCCCCCTGCATTGCGAGCGCGAAGTGAGGTAAGTATAATTTTCAAAAGCTGCTTTCAGCCAGCAATAAGAAAATAACCCTGCGACTTCCCTGGTGGTCCAGTGGTTAAGACACCACACTCCCAATGCAGGAGGCCCGGGTTCAATCCTTGGTCAGGGAACTAGATCCCACACACGGCAAGGAAGATCCCGGGCGCCACAACTAGACCAGGCACAGCCAAATCATCTTTCATTGAATTGTGGCAGAACCCTTTGCATTCTCTTCAATTCTATCAACAACCCAGGTGAGCAGACACTCAACAAGTGTATGTATTCAAAAATAATTGCCTTAGTCTCCCTGAAACACCTTGTGGATTACAAAAATATATATAAAAGGCATGTATTTTTTCCATTCTACTAAAAGCCTACAACCTAAAGTGCTACTAAAAGATATGCAGTTATAAAGACTAGGGACATCTGGGCTTTAATGTTAGTGCTGACAAAGAGGCTCTCCTTAACCAAACTTTAGTCAGGCTCCTCTGAACTCTCTTCTCAATTAGGCCCTGACTTCTGGGCTTCTGGGTTCATCTCCGCATTGTCCAATTTTAGCAAGAATCCTGTTAGACCGGTTTAGCTCGAAACCCCTGTTACCCCTGAGGTACTAATTTTCCATCCACTGGCCCCCGCTCTGCTTCCTGGCTATAAATTCTCACTTTTCCTTGTTATTTTTGGAATCGAGTCCAGCTCTATACTGAGGTCTCTTTTTCAATGTTGCAATTGCCTTTCTGAATAAAATCTGCTTTTACCACTAGCTGTGTAAGTATGTTTAAGTCACTTAACCTTTCTGGGTTTCAGTTTACTCATCTGTAAATTTAAGGGAGGTAGAGTAGATGACCTCTAAGGATCCCTGCCAGGTCTAAAATTCTCATGACGAAATCTGGTAGAGGAAAATGAGGTACAGAAAAAATTAAGCAATTTGAACTTGCTGGAGGTCATAGAGCTGTGAAGCCAGGACATCATCCAGGTCTTCTGACTCCCCCCCAGCACAATGTCCATTTTACAAAACCAGTCACCGGGAATTCCCTGGTGGTCCAGTGGTTAGGACTTTCACTGCCAGGGCCTGGGTTCAAACCCTGGTTGGGGAACTAAGATCCTGCAAGCCATGCAGCATGGTCAAAAAAAAAAGCAATCTCAATGCTGAAACCAAAAGCCAGACAAATCCAGAAAAAGGACATACCCAGGGTGCTATTTCACCCCAGAGTCCTGCTTCATCTTACAATCTGTTGTTCAGTACTCTTTAATCCCTAAACAGCATTACATTTTTTTTACTAAGATAAATCATTTTTCCTTTCTGGAAACATAAATTATACTACTTTTACCAATAAAACACGTAGAACACATAATAATTAACCTTGACTTTAGATGACAGCAACGATTAAAAGATTTTATTCTATTTCCTACCAATATTTCCTTCTGTTTTGTCATTAAAAGTTCCATTCAGTTTGGTTGTGAAGTGGGCCCTAGTTCTTACTTTACTGTAAAAGACTCCTAAATGCCACAGGGCTCAACTGAATGAGGACACATGTGCCCAGGCAATTCTGACTCCAGCGTGACTTCAGTAAGATCGTTTTACTTCCTCCAAGTTTCAGTTACTTCGCCCATATCCAAGGTAAGTTATAAAAGACAACATCAAAGATGTGAAGTTTTAAAGTATTAAAAATCTAATGATGATGAACACTGTGTTTACATGCCATGGTACAATTATCTCAAATATCTATTTTCATACCTCTAAATATAGGGAAACAGTTTTTTAAATTTCTTAAAATTAATTTTTATTGGAGTATAATTGCTTTACAATGTTGTGTTAGTTTCTGCTGTGAGGGCCACATTTTAAAAACTTATATTCTACTGCTGCTGCTTTGAATTTTTTAAAATACCATACTGAATAATGCCACTTCCTCCTTGGTATCTTTCTATGCCATTTTTACCTGAGGGACAAGGAATATGATATATTTTAAAGTTAAACAGGGAACTAGATCCCACACATGGCAACGAAAACATGTACAAACACAACTATTTTTTCACTCTATCAGTTTTCTGTTATCATCCTCTAACGAACTTAAATTTTGCCAATAAAGGTCTTCTAAAAATGTTACATTTTCTGTGAAATGCAAGAAACAAAATGCTACATTACCTAGTGGTAACAATCAGTATTTTTAATACTTTAAGAATTTCAATTTACCGTTCACTAGCACATTATGACATCACTGCCTTCCAGCGTTTGCTCTCATTAAATAATCCTGTTTCTATCTTTGTTCCCTTGCCTTCCATACACAGACTGCAAATGTTCTATTGTTCCCGTTCACCATTTCCGTGAAGAAGCTTAAAAATGACTTGACATTTGCACGTTTCTTTGCTCGGTAAATACACTTCCTCTCACTGCAGTTGAGCTGGAGAGGTCGATCTCTTACCAAAAAGCAAGATCTGGACAAAACTAAACAGCAAAACCAAGGCCGAATGGGAAGGGTGGGGGGTGGAGTCAGTACACCAGCCTAACAGGGGTTCTAGGGCTTCCACAGATAAACAAAGGAAGTTGATTTCCCCACGGCGCCGCGTGTGCTTCACTCGTGTGGAGTCCCAGAGCTCATTACCTCGAAAACGCAGCCCAAGTGCTGAATTTTACCGAAGGATCCCATTATAGGTGGACACCCAGAAAGTCAGCGGAGGCAGAGGTGGATGGGGAAGAGAGTGGGCCGACCTTCGATTCCTTCCTTCCACCCCACCAAAGAACCTAAATACCTACCAACCCCAGCAAACCGACACAAAGCTCCTCAGCTGCTCAAGATACAATTTTCAGGGGCAGGAGAAAAAAGGGAGCGTGGGGGGTGGGCTTCAGGTGGGGTGAGTGCGAGGAGCTGGAGAGAGGAATCAAGTTCAGGGGCGAAACCGAGGGCACTAGAGGGAGGTCTAAGCAGAGCGGGGCAGCTTGGGTGCCTGCGGCGCGCGAACGCCCAAACGGCCGGGGGCGGGTACGGGCCCCTTCCTCACCTGGCAGCCCTTCTTGTGATGAAAGCCGACCACCGCGATGTGCAGTACGGGCCCACGGGGGCCGCTATCGCCGCTCCGCCCGTTCTTCTCCATGGGCGACCGCCGCAGGCCCGCAAGACGATGACTGCAACCGCCGAGGGCGGCAAGCCGAGCAACCCCGTGATCCGCAGGAGGACGGCGAGCAGTGGATTTCAGGTGTCAGCGAGGGCGCCGCATGAGAGCCTCGCAGGGAGCGAGGAGGAGGCCGAGGCTCCTGCAGCTCTGCAACGCCCCCCCCCGGGCCGCAGCCGAGCTTCCCTCATCCGCTTCCGCTGCTTCCGGGCTGTCCCCTGATGCGGCGGCAGCCGCCGGTAAGGCGGGACTGGTCAGGATTGGGAGGCACCTGATGAGGCGGGGCCTGGCGGGGCCTGGAGAGGGGGTGGGGCGCCGGGATGGGGCGGGGCCTGGTGAGGTCGTCTGGCACACCTGTCCCCCGCTCACACCCTCTAGGTGAGATCTCATCCCGCCTCCTCCTCCTCTTCTGTCCTCGCTTCTTCCCCCTTAAAATCTCCGCCCCTTCCCATCTCTTCCCTCAGCTTTCCTTTTTTTTAACTTCACTTTCGGAGTATCCAGTTCTTTCACTTCCTTTCCTTCGCGTCTCTGGCCTACAGTCTCTCTGTTCTTTACTCTTAAATTTTGATAACACGGAGACATATTGGTGCGGCTGTATATCTTTAAATGACCTGCTTACCCAGAGTTTCTCTTTTGCTTAGTTCTATGTTTTTTTCCTTATTTAAATATTATGTATAGGAGTTTGGAAGTGTTTTAAGGCCTGATGCAGAATATCCTTGAAAGTAAATTTACAGGGAGACCTGTAAAATGATCCTTCTAGTCCTGCTATTTTATTTATTTATTTATTTATTATTTTAGTCCTGCTATTAAAAAAAAAATTCATTCTATCTTTCTGGTTTTAGTACTCCGGTCAGCACAGAGTACTAAAATACATGGGGTCTGTTGTCACCAGGATTTTTTATTTCCTTACTGATTGTACTAATTCAATTTAAAAAATTGAATCTCATTTTATGTCAATTTAAAGTGAATAATGGAAATACTAATAGATTTAACAAGTCTTATCCAGGGCAGTTTGAAGATAGGTACCTGCTTCAAATACCATTCACAATTATTACAATAACGAGCTGTGAAGTTTATCATTACAAGTTGCACATCCCTTAGTTTAGACAACCTTAGCAGCTGATTCCACTTCTGGCCTTGAAATTTAAGGACATTCATTCTAATCTAAGTATGGCTGAGAAAAACAGTATACTCTTCTTAGAATATAGTTTCTATGATTCAGTTGAACTGTTTTAATGCTAAGAAAAATACTGTAGAAAAATTTCAAGATGTTGCTACTATTTCTTTTCTGTATTACAAAAGTCTTGGCATTGGCTCAAAACTGTGTGAAACTATAATATTGCCTGTATACAGAATATGTTACTGTTTTGTTCCATCTGCCTTGACGTTTTCCACAATTGGCCTAACTAAAATTGAAGTGAAATTGAACATCTTTTCTTTTTTTTTTTTTTTTGGTACGCGGGCCTCTCACTGTTGTGGCCTCTCCCATTGCGGAGCACAGGCTCCGGACGCGCAGGCTCAGAAGCCATGGCTCACGGGCCCAGCCGCTCCCCGGCATGTGGGATCTTCCCAGACTGGGGCACGAACCCGTGTCCCCTGCATCGGCAGGCGGACTCTCAACCACTGCACCACTAGGGAAGCCCTGAACATCTTTTCAAAAGGATGTAAGGGCAGGGCATCTTAGGACTGTGTATCTACAGTGAATGCCAATTGTTTATTCATTGTGCAGGAGACCCAGTAATAACTTTATAAAAATCCATGTCATTTTGCATCCTAGGGCCTCCAACTAAGATTGAATCATTTATTCATAACCATTATGTTGCTTAAATGTTTAAAATTTATGTCATTTAAAATAATGCTATAAAGAAGATATGTTACAGGGAAAATTGGAAAAGAAAGTAAACAAGTGGATTTCCAGAATTTTTCCCATCTCTAAATATACAGACTGTTCCATTTAACAATTTAGAATAACAACTTTTACGGTAGTTTTTTTTTTTAATATTTTTAAATTAATTTATTTTTGGCTGCGTTGGGTCTTCATTGCTGCACGCGGGCTTTCTCTAGTTGTGGCGAGTGGGGGCTACTCTTCTTTGCAGTGCGTGGGCTTCTCGTTGTGCTGGCTTCTCTTGTTGTAGAGCCCAAGCTCTAGGAGCACAGGCTTCAGTAGTGTGTCACGCGTGCTCTAGAGCACAGGCTCAGTAGTTGTGGCACATCGGCTTAGTTGCTTTGCGGCATGTGGGATCTTCCTGGACCAGGGATCGAACCCATGTCACCTGCATTGGCAGGCAGATTCTTAACCACTGCTCCACCAGGGAAGTCCTACATGAGTTTT